AGTAGATTTCATCTAAGATACATCTTTCAAATATTGAATATATTTAATATTCTTATCTTTATGAATAAACTAACTTACATGATGAATTTAAATAGTTCTGAATATCCAAGTATGTCTTTTAAAAAGAACCTAGAAATTCTCAATTGGAACAAAGGAATAAGTCAGATATAAATATGCAAAACAAATCTCTAGTTATATATATGTTACTAATTATATTAAATAAACCAACCATTTATTTAGTATCTACTAAGTCCAGCAGTGAAGTCACATTCAAGGGTTTTCAACCAGACAGAAACACAGTGATTCATGTATTTAAGAGATTATTGTGACTGCTGGGGGTAGGGGAATATATAGGGTCAAGGCAGAGAGGCTGAGAGACCACTGGCTCTTCAGCTTATCAGAGGTGATAGTCATTGGGCCAAGACAGTAATTGGAATTGGAAAGAGGTGGACAGATTTTGGAAGTAGAAATATTAGGGTTACTTGCTGCTGGATGTAATGCAGAGGGAGAGGAATTATTATGAAGGATGGTGGTACACTGACTGAAAGGGAGAAGACTGGGAACAGAACAGGTTTGGCTGCCATTTGATTAGTAGCCATGTGATAGACACAGTGCCACGTACTTTGAGTATGTCATCTCATTTAATTTTCACAAAAAGCTTGTGAAGTGGGTAACTATTAAGAATTCTCATTTTATAGATGAGGAAACGGCCAGTATTCTGGGAAGTATGCATATATTCTCAAGTGAAATTAAATAACTTGCCCGAGGACATAGCTCACTGATAAAGTAAATGGCTGAGCTGGATGCAAAATTGGGTCTTTTCTACTTCAAAACCTGGGCTTTAGCACTTTTTCCAAAGTTCATGTTAAAAAAGCATAAGCAAATGATTTCTGTAAGAGTAACCGTCTAATTTGTTTCTTGTACATTAGATTTAACTTTATTCTCTCTAACAGAAAACCAACATGCAAGCAACAGTTTAGGTAGTTAAAATAAAGCTCCCCTATTTTAAATTAAATTACTCTAAAAAAAATAAAACGGGAATAAAATTAAAAATCCTTCTCACGGTATTTGTGCATTACCACTACATCTCTTCATCCATCTAGAACTTGCTTCTTTGCCTGCTCATACTAGTGTCTAGAATTCCTTTCTCCTCTCTGTTAAAATCCTTCCCATCCTTCATTTCCCTATGTCCAATTTTTTGCTTGCTTCACGAGTACTTTTTCCATCCCCCCTTGCTTCTCACTCACTCTAAATCTGCACTTTGGCGATACTGCCTTATGATAGAGCACCAGTACTGATGTTTCCTCTTATTTACTTGTTTGTATATTGTTACGTATTTTAAGCACTGAATGATAAATGACTGGTGCAATAGATTTTTGAAGACTTCAAAAAAATCAACTTAGAATGTATTTTTTCAGTTTTAGTTAGTATGAGAATTTTTTATTTTTTAAAGTACTGGTTGTCAGAAGAGAATGTTTTCATTAAATTCTCTCTTTTTCCCTACCTTGATTATTTGGTATAGCTGGAGAAACAGAAGATAGAGAAGCAGAAGAAGGAATTAAGAGCTACCAAAAAGATTCCTGATGAAGAAGGAAACAGCAGCAGCCGTTCTTCTGGAATCTCAGGGACGTCAAATAAGAAGGATTTTGCCAGACTGAGACCTGGAGAAAAAAGCAGGAAAAATCTTCAGTTATTGAAGGACATGCAAACCATACAGAACTCATTACAGAACAATAGTTTGTGTTGGGACTACTGACTCGTACCAGGTCATAAATATTATTCACCTAATTTGTACCTCATCAGTCAGATGTTGACAATTTATTTTCCAGGTCTCATATTCACTTATGTTGGATTTAATTAACAGCAGGTATTAAGGGGAACAAGCTTCATTAGACAGGCTTCTTGCATTGTGCAGCATGACTAATGTTAAACCATTTAGATGGAAACTGGGGGAGTTTTAAAGCCTGAGAAAGCCGTAAATACTCTGTTTCTTTGAGATGAATTTGCTGTACTGATATATTGTACTTTGTAAACAAATTACAATTTTTTACTTATGGGTGTGATTTTTTTATAATAGTTCTTTATATATCTATAAAAAATAAAATCAGGCTTAAATTTTCAAAATATGAGGCTGTCCCATAAGCAGTTTTTGCTTGGAAAGTCTCATTTTTAAATCTTCCTGGCACGAATCACCCACTTCCCCTTTCCAGCACAACCATTAAATATACTTTGTTTTGAATCTTGATGGAGGTTTTCTATGTTTAAATATTTATGTATATTTAAGAGGGTTTTTTTTTCTTTTTGTCATTTCAAACACTGATCAGTGTACTTATATTGCTTTTTAATCCATTGTTAAAAATTTTTAAAAGACCCAAGCAATCATTTTAAGTCAATTAACTAAAATTTATAAAGCATTTTTAAAAGTGTAAACAAACTGTTAATGAAATAAATGAGATTTGGGAATGAAGTAAGAATGGTAGAAAGAGGGGGAGATGTGAAGCATGTACATTTGCAGTTTTAAAATAATACCTGTTTGTAATCATGCTATTCAGTCAAGGCATCTTGGTTTTTTTTAATCTTGAAACTTAGAGAAACATTTGAATATTTGCTTTTGTTGGTGTACAGTATGAGTGCAATACGAACTGTACACATATGTCACAATAATGTAAATCATAATTTTGAGTAGATCGACATGTTAACTTTTTATAAATTTGCCACTGTAGTCAATAAAGCAGCTTTTTAAGGAAACACTGAAGCTTTCCTCAACAGCCTGTTAATAAAGGCTTTCTTGGTTGTAAACTCTCAAAAAATGCATTTCTAAATAGAAACATCAACATATTAATTATAAATAAGAATATGTAGTATTTAGTAGTTGTTTGCCATTCTCATTCTTACATAGCAAATAAGCCCAACAAAGATTGAATTACCTCATAGTATATGATAAGATACTCTTGAGTGCTAATGAACACAACAGTCACATACTAAGGATATTCCTCCCATGGAACTGATTGAGATGGAGTTCTAGGATTATATCTAAACAGCTAGCATGAATTGTTATAGCTACCTAGGCACTAGGCTTATGAAGCCTCCTGTTGAATTAATTTTCTACAGTTAGAGTTCTTAATTTAGGGTCCTTAAATAGATTCTGGGGTATATGTAAATCTCCTGAAAATAGTATGTAAACTTTTGCTTGTGTGTTCAATTTTCTGATGAGCAGGTTTATAGCTTCATTGAATTCACAACAGTGAGTCCACAGACCCCAGGAAGGTGAGAATCACTGCTCTGCTGACATGGTAAATATTTCTTGTGTCTCAATCACCATTTCAACTATTAAGCTTTTGTTTTCTCCTTGTTTGAATTTCAGGTCATTAAATTGTATGATTGTCATTTGAATTGTAGTGGCTCTGAGTCCTAGTTAGAAGAGTGATTGAATGATGCTAAATCCCACCGCATCCCTCAGCTGGGATTCAAACTAAAATAACTACTACAGCTTTTGATACTCTCAGGTGAGAATTGAAAACGACAAAATAGCACTTCAGTTTTCTTATCTGAGAGTTTATAGTAAAGGAATATGTTGTCATCCATCCACTTATGTTGTAGTAGTTTTATTGCAGTGCATTCAAATGTAAGTATCTTCTATGCATAAGATGCCAACATGGATACTAAGCTTAATAAGAAAGCAGTGTTTATAGGCTGGTGGTAGACATCTGAATTGTGCATTTCAACACAGTTGTGGTGAATGCAATGGTAATGGCCATGTACACAGTGCTATGGAGGCAAAGAGGAAGGTGGGGGGGTGGCAGTGAGGGGAGTGATGGGGAGTGATGAGTCGGGAGTAACTTCCCAGAGGAAGAAATGATGCCTAAACTCTAACAGGGATTAGTCACAAGGGCGAACAGTTGTTCCAGGTTGACAGGACAGAATGAACAAAAGCAGGGAGGCAGGAGTCTGCAGTTTACATGGGGGAATTGTGAGTAGCAGAGTGGACTGGTACATAAATGCTGATGAGAACAGAGGTAGAAACTAGGTCACAGGAAGCTGAGGAGCTTCAGCCTGATCATAGTGGTCTCTAATTTTGTGTCCTTGGTCATAAAGGAAAAAGTATACTTGCACAACCAACATTCAGAGAGACATGGAAAGGTATGCAAACTGTCAACTCAAATATTAAAAAGTTTTGTGTAGATAAATATACATAAGTGCTAGTACTCCTCCCCTTCCACACATAATACCAGTGGTTTATCTTAAGTGCTCATGTACAATGCAGAGGGTGAGAGAAGCCACTGGAAGTTTTTTTTTTTTTAGTTGTTTTTGGGTGGCTGGTCGGTACAGGGATCCAAGCCCTTGACCTCTGTTATGAACACCAAGTTCTAACCAACTGAGCTTAACCAGCCAGCCCCCCCACTAGATGGTTTTGAACAGAGATGTGATATATTTGCACTTATATCTGGCTTTTGGGTGGAATATGAATTGGATGTGAACATATTACGACTAGAAACTTTACATTCTTGATCTCTTCAAGCCATCTACATTCTTTTATATGGTACCAGACCAAGATGATAAAGGCTTAAATGGAGAAAATGGTAGAATGGAGAGGAGAAAATGGATTTATGAAATACTGGAGTAGAAAACTTAGCTTTGATACCGATTGGCCACTTAAATACCTTGTTAAAATTTTTCCTAACAGATTTCATACAGTGACCAAATAATTTTGGTACCAATTTTGCTAATATTGGATGCACTTAATAGAAACTATAGTTCTGCATTTTAAGACCAAGAGCAGGGCTAAGGTTTAGATTATAGTGAATTAGTGAGTGGAAAAAATACTGTATTTTTGATTATTGTTTGATTTGGGTGTTAGAGGAAAAATGGGTTTAAATTGAACATTTCTGTTTAGAGTGAGTACTCCAAAAATTTTCCAAATAACATTTCTGCAAAAAACCAAAAATAAAACAAAACAAAAAAATTAAACTGAAGCCAAACAATTCTGTACAAAGACAAAGTTTAAAAGTCAGTTGAAATTTCTTTTAATTAAAAGACCAAGGGACAAGAAGCTCCTCTGTTACAGTACATTACATATGGCTCTTATATAGAGTAAAATACACATCAGGAAATCAAATGTTTATACCAGCACCAAAATCTTACTTGTAGCAGGTGAAACAGTGAAGCAACATTTCTTTTACTGGCAGTGAGATTGTGATACATAGTAACATGCAACATGTTCTTTGGTAAATTTACTCATTAAATAGAATTATAGAATTTGCAAAGGAAAAAGGTAGTAAAATATTTCTTGTAAAATTTGAGCATAATACTTCTCACCATAAGCTAATTATATAGACTTCAGAAAAAAAGCCAACCCTAGTAAGATTTTTAAAATATTGCCTAAAAACTTGCCCATTAGCTTCAGTATGTTCAGACAAAAAAAAAAAAAAATTACGTGAGCTGAGTTTTTAAAATATCTTCCATAATGTTTCAGGTAACTAGACAAATGGAAGCTAATGTGAAATGTATGGGATTCTTTGAACTCCTGCATGTCTACCTCTTTCTCCCCTTCATCCTTCCCCAAGCATAACTATAAGGCATTTTGAAATAGCTAAAACAAATTAAATAAGTATATAAATAATGATAGCAATAATGGTCAACTACTACTACACCATAATATCCTCAAGACTTTGCCTTTCACTATACAAAGAATGTGAAGGTGGAAAGGTAATGAAGGTAAATCAGTTACTACAAAAAAGAAAATCCTATAATGGAGAAAGGGATATCAAATGATTTTGATCTGTGATGACATCAAGGCCCAATATACATATATGATACCACAGAATTTCAGCATTTGGCTTGAAAACTGATGCTCCTCTGAGCAATGAGCTCTCTCCCATCAGGAGGTTTATTTCTAAAGTGGTTTGTGTTTTGATTTTACCAGATGCCACAATTTATAAGACAGCATTTTTCTTTTAATATTAGAAACTTATTCCCACCATGGATCCAGTACTGAAGTATTTTAATATTCTTTGGGTGACTTATGATTAGTGTCATAGTCATGGGATTACATACGGAGTTATTTCACTTAAGTCACCTGCACTGCTACAGTTCTAAACTCACTCCAGAGAGATTTAAAATAAATAAAGCGCCTGATCTTTCTCTCATAGATGGGTTCTAACTTCGGAAGACTTGCTACTTATAAAGGTGCCACTGTAGTCAAGAGTTCATAGCAATGATGCCCCCAATCTAATAGTCCTTTCATACAACAGTTTGGACAGGAGTGACACACTGTGCAGGAGAGCTGGCTCTCTCTGAGGATGAGGTTGATCGGTTGGTAATCTCTCTCTGTAGTTCCTCTACTTTTTTCTGAAGCTCTGCTCGTTTAGCAAGAAGTTCTTTATATCTGTTGTGAATAGGTTCCTACAAGAGCAAAACATAAAATTATTCAGTTAGGCAATCCTAACCAAACCCAAGATCAGATCTTTTCCTAAATATTACAATATATGATTTCTTAACTGTTGGGGCACATCCCACCTTTCCAACCCATCAATGGAAATCAAACCCAAGGACTACTGAAACCACTGGCTTTCCCAGTGCCTGCAAGTATTTCCAGGGAATAACTGCTGTGGACATGCTCCTAAAACTTGTACTTTTCCCAATACAACAAATAATGAAGACAAAAGCCAGTACTCAAAAGATTCTCTACCATTTAGTATCAGTTTCAGTCATGAACAGTTGTCAGTAGCAGATACTCTATAACATATTCACAGTGGCCCACAATTTTGTTAGGCGTTTAACCTTCCTCAAGCTATTTTCTTCAGCTTATTAGAACAAAACCCCTAGAAGTTACCCAGACAGAGGGAAGAAGAGACAAAACGAAGAAGTGATTTGTCTGAAGTTTTACAAGCAAAGTCAGGATAAGAACCAAGTATACTGATTACCCCAGTGTAGTGCTTTTTCTGCTATACAATTATGACTATTAATAGGTAGAGGGGGAAGTTTTAACTATGCACAGATTATTTTTCCACTTGCTTTAAAGGGGACAAATCTAATAAAGTTCCATTGCATGGATGTTAACTCATTGTAGAGTGTATACCTGTGGTTTCATCCGTGGATTCCACCTTATGTAATATCCCACCCAGAGCTCTAGGTGGCGCATGCTGGCTACTGGATAAAGGACATGATTGGAATAGCTCCCATAGAGAGGATTAGTGAAGTCTTCCAGCTGGCTATTTATGTAAGACCACAGTGACACGGTCCTTTTAGGAAGATTCTGTAAGAAGGAAAAATAGGTAATGATTCTCTACCACATAAGCTATTTATACTTTATATGAAATTTGTAAAGAGGTCTTTTGTGGTCATTAAATTAGAGGGAGTAGAACTGGATACCTGTTATAGACCCACTTACATTAAAGTCAGAGGGTATTAGAAAAGAGTCTGCAATTCCTCAAAGAGTTAAACACAGTTACCATATGACCCAACAATTCCACTCCTACGTATATACCCAACAGAACTGAAAACACATCTATACAAAAACTTCATGGATGTTCAAAGCAGTGTTATTCATAATAGCCAAAAAGTGGAAACAACCCAAAAGTCCGTCAAGTGATGAATGCATAAATATAATACATCCACACAATGGAATGTTATTCAGCCATAAGAAATAACACATGTCACAAAGTGCATGAACCTTTAAAAATTATACTGAGTAAAATGAGCCAGACACAAAGATAACATATTGAAAGACTCTATTTATATGAAATGTCCAGACTAGACAAGTCGACAGACACAAAGTAGATTAGTGTTTGCCAGGGGCTGGGAGGAGAGGAGAATGGGAGATGACTACTAACACGTATGGGGCTTCTTTTGGGATGATGAAAATGTTCTGAAATTAAATAGTGGTGATGGTTGCACAATTCGGTAGATATACTAAAAACCACTAGCCTACACTTTAAAAGTGGACTTTATGTAAATTATATTTCAGTACAAAAAAATTTTTTTTAATCAAGATAGAGTGAATCCTACACCAAGGCTCTCAAAAGATGAAAGTTATCTTTTGGAACTTAGCTGTGCCATTCTTAATTATCTAACATAACAAATTACTGAGTGCCTACTATGCATGGGAATACTTATTGCATGCTAGTCACTAAAGATATAAATGGTGAATTCAACAATTTAATACCTGTCTTCCTTATAGTCTAGGAAGCACCTACTACATAGCAGTTTTTGTGGTATTTTTTTTTTTTTGGTTTATTTAATCTTCACAATAGTATTTATTATTATCCCTATTTTACAGAAGCAGAAATTAACTTGCCCAAGGTTAACAGTAAATGACAATTCCAAGATTTGAACCCAGCATCCAGGCTTCAGTGCATGCACTCTTTCCCATTATGCTTTGTAAAATTATAAGAATAAACTTTATAACCACATTTTTAGAATGAAATTTGATGCAGAGGGAGGCACCAATCAAGATGATTAAGATGTTCATACATAGATGTATTTTGAGAAAGAAGTGAAACTTAAAATATAGTCCTTACCATTTATGCTTAATAATACCAACTTAACAGTGATAATTCTGGGGGAGTGGGATAATGAAAACCTTTAACTGTATACGTAAAATCTCAGTGTTTGAATTTTTTACAGTATTGCTTTACAATTAAAAAACCTCAAAACTTAACCTAAAACATCTTGTTTACATGCAGAATATATTTTGGGATTTGAGCTGCCCATTCATTCAAATACATGCTTTCTGCTAATTATATTTATTTTTCTCCACCTGTACAGAATAATAAGTACACTTGTGCTCCTTAGATTCCGTATGTGTCATTTCTCTTTAGCAGATACTACTTCCCACCCATGAACTTGCCTTACAGCTAGCCAGCACCTTCAGCCTTGTCACAGAAGTACTTCAAAACAGATCAGGTCCAGATGTATGGAAGGAAGTAATCATAGTACAGTGTATACAGTATGACCAGAAAATCACCCAAAAGAATGACTATTCAGTTAAAATCTATCACAGAGTCCATTCTTGTAGGGAAAAGTACAAAAGTGGGGATAGAGCAGGAGGTCATGGCTCATATTTTACCTCTTTTCCTCTCTGCTGTTCGCTGTTGCAGAGGAATGTTCCGAATAAACAGCTGTACAGGTGGTCCAAAATGGTAATGAGAAAATATTCATTGAATTCAAATGCGGTAGGAAACTGCAAATTGAATGCCACAAACACAAAATTAAGATTTTTTTCCAAATGTATTTATCCCTGATGTTGGTAGATCCTTTTAATAGTATTTAAAATTAATATTCAAAACTATATGTTTCTAAGCCATTATGGCATTACCTGCTTGGTTGTCCAAAAATCACTATCATTTTTCTGAGGTAATTTCTCCCAGAGTCTCCTTTTCTTGTGTATCAAGAGTTTGAATGGTCTGACCATGATATTTCTGTATCCTCTCTGTTAACCCTAAGCTTGAAGGCTGCTGAATTTTGACTTGTGCAATTTTGGCAACTCTAGTCTTTCTCTGCCAAAAATTACCATAAACAACATAGTAAGATTTTTCTTTTAAGTTTTTAACAACATAGTTTCCAGGAATTACACAAAAAATAGCAACAATGTCTCCAGAAAATGCCCGCAATACACAAAAATATCCAAGGCAGATGTGCAGATAATTTACAAGTCAGCCTGCTTTTCTTTTCAAGGAACATCCGGTTGAATCAGAGTCTCTTGTAATCTACTACTTTAACAACATCTTTCCAACAAAAAGAAAATTCACCCTCTCTAGCCCAGGCCAGTGGCTTAACTGGATGACTTCATTTTATACAAACAGTACAAATTTGGGTGACTAAATCAAAGGAAGAATTACAGATCCCAGAAATGTAAAGGATACCTAGTTTAATCCATTTTATCAACCTAATATTTCAAGATTATTTGGAAGCTTCTATGTAAGATTTTACAAGTTATAGGGCTGTGAAAAGGAATTCCATGAATATTTGGATTGCAGATAGAGAAATATATATTGTTCACAAGTTTTTATTTCTAAGAAAGATCCCTACCCAAATAGCGGAAGAAAACAGTAATAACTGCATGCAAAACGGATAGGGATGAAAATAACTTTGCCTTGAAGTTTCCTAAATTTTAGGGTACTACAGGCAAGGTCACATGGCAGATTTCCCAAAACAATAAAGGCCAACTACCAGGTCTTGACTAATTTTTATGGCTGTGAAGCTGAATGATCAAGTATATGCCAAAAACAAAAAAAGTTACCTGTAAGAAATTTTGTTAAATCCCATTTATTCATTTATAAAAAAAAAATCCCATCTCATATTTATCGCACACTCTTAACAGCCTTATTTATTAGCCAAATATGAATGCATCCTGAGTCATTAAATAGCAATCCCAAGGAGCTAAGCCTGCAATTGATTTTTTTATCTTCTTGGCAAAACTACTAGCTCAGTTATGAGAAGACAGCTTAATCACTGGGCATTTACTCACAATGAAACTAAAATAGTATAGTATGAACTGCTGCTATTGCTTTTAAAATTCTAAGCAAAAAAGGAGTACTTTGTTTTCTTTACATGTTTAAAATCTCAAGGGCCCTTCAACAACTGCTTCCTGATCCCATGAGTGAGGGATGAGGATGAGGATAGTAGTAGGAGGAGAGGTGCAGAAACAACATAATTGGTCCTATTTTTTTTTTTCCTTTTTGTCTTTTTTCATGTCCGGCAACGGATCGCAACCCTCAGTGTCGCGCCCGTACCGGACCGGGACCGGCAACGGGATCGCAACCCTTGGTGTTGCGCCCGCACCTCGCTCAGCCAGTGAGCGGGAACCGGTCTGTATGTGGGATCCAAACCCTCGGCAGGAGCGCCGCCGAGCTCTCAAGCGGCGACAGTGCGCCACCGGGCCGGCCCAATTGGTCCTATTTTGACAAATGTGCTATTTTAGTGTCTGCACTAGTATTCAATTATTTATAAAACTGATGATTGCTAATAAACATTATGACTAGCTAACATACTTTATGTTCAGGAAGAAAATATATCATACAGGAAACATAACTAGATGTCTAAAGACCACTATTTTAAGTTCTATCAAAAACATTTAAATTGATTTTATTATTTATTAACAGGCTCAAAATTAGGGTTAAACTGCTTTTAGATATAGAGCATATTTACTAAGGAAGAGATGTATTATGTACTTTTCTTTGCAAGAGATTGGTAAATGTGAGTAATTGATTTTTCTAACATATCAGAACTAATATATTTAAACACACTGCCCCCTTCAAGGTACTCACCTTGGAAGGCAGTACATTTTTTTTTTTTTGTCCTTTTTTGTGACCGGTAAGGGGATTGCAACCCTTGGCTTGGTGTCGTCCGCCCCGCGCTTAGCCAGTGAGCGCACCAGCCATCCCTATATAGGATCTGAACCCGTGGCGTGAGCGCCACTGTGCTCCCAGAGCCGCCCTCTCCCAAGTGCACCACGGGCTCGGCCCGGAAGGCAGTACATTTTTTTTTTTTTGTCCTTTTTTGTGACCGGTAAGGGGATTGCAACCCTTGGCTTGGTGTCGTCCGCACCGCGCTTAGCCAGTGAGTGCACCAGCCATCCCTATATAGGATCTGAACCCGTGGCGTGAGCGCCACTGTGCTCCCAGAGCCGCACTCTCCCAAGTGCACCACGGGCTCGGCCCGGAAGGCAGTACATTTAACCATCAAGGATGTCATGTTTTCAAAGAGCTTTCCTACTCCTTTGATGGCATCCTTAATTTCTGTCAATAGTCAAAGGTTATTTAAAACTGAATATGGTAATGGTCAAAAATGGGTCCTATTGCTTTTGGTCAAATACCCAAAAAAGGATTGGTAGGGATTTGTATAGCCAATATGCTACCCTCAAAGGAAAGAAAAATTCAAACTTACTCCAAGAAGTAGTAAACATTGTTAAACTAAGTACGCAGCTTCTCTCCTTCCTCCCACCCCCACCAACCATACCAAGGGCCTAATTTATAAAACAAAACTGGATTGTATACACCTTTTCAGTATATATGTTAAAATATCAGCCTCATTGTCCTGTAGTCATATCTACAGCAATGCTTCATTTAACCCAGCAGGTTTCAAAATAATCCACCCAAGTTTAAATGCTTATGAGGGAAAAAACTATTAAATATATAATGTATTTCAACTACGATCACCATTTTTTCAATGAAATAAATAGTCTCCTATTTTATTGAAGCTAAAATATGATCCTAAAATGAAGCACAGCCAGGAATTGCCCTACTTTCTATTCGTGTGGCAGTCTAACTAAAAACCCAGATGTCCGGGGTCTAATAAACCCTTGGATAAGTAATTACACACCAATGAGCTGCATTCAACTTTTGGGTTTTGAGATGATTTTTCTTGAGTTAGAGTTTAATCGCATCTTTAAGACAATTACCCCTTGCCTCATTAGTGAAGCGATCCCACAATAAACAAGGTGTTTTTCAGTCTCAGGTATCTTTCCAAAAGATTAAATCCATTTACATTAATATTTCAAATAAACCCATTTGTTAGAAAATTGTTAGAACATAATAGCTTTCTAAAACATAATAGCTAAAAACATGCCTAAAAACAAAATTACTTAAATAGGACTTTATTTTGCCTGAGTTACCTAGCTTATTTCTTCACATCCCTTAGAAATGTATAGATGAGCTTCTCTGGATAAGCATGCTATTATTTAACACTTTGTTCTGAACAAAGGAGGAAATGTCTCAGGGGTTGTTATCAATACCACTCATTGAAATGCTAATAGAATCAAATTGTCAAGTGTTTAATACTCCCAAATAATAACCTTTAACTTAATTCATAATGTGACAATAAATAATAGCTCTATCACCTGGAAACCTAACAAGAATTTTCATTTTACATGAACTACAGGATAATCAGTGACCAAATCTCCCAACTCTGACTAGACAGTTTGAAGGAGACATGTAAGAATAGAAATCCCAGATAAGTTACCTGTCTTGTCATTTGCCAGACACAGTCAATGAACTGAAGAAAAACAGGAGATCTGTCTGCATCTGCATGATTCTTATCTCCGTGGCCCACTCTCTGAAAGAGAGAGAGTGAAATATGAGCTTTCTAGGATTTTTTTTTTTTCTTTTTTTTTTTTTTTTTTAAAGATGACTGGTAAGGGGATCTTAACCCTTGACTTGGCGTTGTCAGCACCACACTCACCTAGTGAGCGAACCGGCCATCCCTATATGGGATCCGAACCCGGGGCCTTGGTGTTATCAGCACCACACTCTCCCGAGTGAGCCACAGGCCGGCCAAGGATTTTTCATTTTTTAATGGAAATAATTTTATTTTCCAATAAAAGTAGTATTTGGTCAGTATTTTAAAAATTTTTAGAGCGCTGCAAATAAAGTCATCCCACCAAGCAGAAATCTTTATTAACATTTTGATGTACAAAGTGCCAGACTTTTTTCTGATATGATATGCTTGTAATAGGAATTACCACTGTTTAATAAATGAAACCCAGATTCTAAAAGGCTGATAATGTTAGATAAGAGCATTCAGAGCCTAGATTTTTGTCCTAGAGATTTAATTTCTCTCTGATAAGAAACAGTTACTTGTACAATGGCCTCAGAAAATACCCTTGCCTTTTAATACCTTGGCCAGTGAACAGAGGGGTACCTCACCCCATTTGTCTTTATCAGGAGAAACCACATTAGTACAAATCCTTGAAAACCTTTCAAAAATGCTTGACATCCACCCTCCAAACGTGCAGTTGCCCACCCAATTTCTCAGTTCTTCTCTAAGGACCTTTGACCCAGATGATTGAAACAGAACCTTTCCTTCTCCTTACTCCAAAGCAGGGATTCTAAAAGTGTGGTCCACAGACTTGCAGGGGCTGTAAGGCCCAAACTACTTTCATAATAATCCTATGACATTATTTGCCTCTTTCAGTGTGTTGGCATTCGCACTAATGGTACATAAGTGAGGAAGGAAAAAACTTCTGGTGCCTTATCAGGAGTCAATCAAGGCAATGGTATCAAACTGCACTAGTAGGTATTGTATACCGCCCTGCCAGATACTCACAGTAAGACAAAAGAAAAAAAGAAAAAACGTCAGTTTTTCCTAAGCCAGTGTTCTTGATGAAGTAGTAAAATTTATTTTATAATTTATAATTTATAATCACCCCTCGAATACACATTTTTTAAAAATATCCTATGTGATAAAATGGGAAATAAGCACTATGGTAGGAAATGCCAGTTTGTCATGGAACATCATCTTTACTTGAAAGAACAGGTGGGTGAATTATGGTTTGTAAGATCTGAATAGTTCGTAGATTTTTTTTTATGTGCAAGGTGAATGTGTCTCTTTAAGGAAAGTGAATGACAGTATTTTTAAAATTGAAGCTGTCAAGTGAAAATTGGATTTTTAGAAAACTTTTATCCACCACAATGATCTTGACAATACTTAAACACATTTCTGATAAAATCAGTGGTGATGTTAACAAACATGATTTTATGATACTGAATAATGAAATGCATTAACATTTGGAAGATATATATAACTCAGTAAGCCAGTATTTTCCAAATAACCAATACATGATGTTACAAAATCATGCATGGGTGAAAGATCTGCTCAAAGTGAAAGAGAAACCAATGGAGTTCAGTGGAACGAACTACAAAAAAACTGATTTGGTTTTGAATTCCACATTACAACTAACCCCTAAGAAACTACCATTTGGCAAGTTTTGGAAGTTTTGGAATAGTATCAAAGAAGAATATCCACAATTCCCTGAAAAAGCTATTAAAACAACTCTACTTTCCACCTACATATGTGTATGACTGGATTTTTCTCATACATACTTCAACCAACAGAACATATCAGAACAGATTGTAAAAGCAGATACAAAATTTAACTGTCATCTATTAAGCCAGATTCATTAAGGAAATTTGCAAAAGTCTTCTCATTAAACTTTTTTTGTTTGTTTTGGAAAATATAATTATTTTTTCATTAAAATTTTATTTATGTTAATTGATAGATTATTAATAAATTTTTAAATTTTGATTTCTAATATGGCAAATACTGATAGATATAACCCACATAAACAAAGTTCTTCAGGGTCATCAATAATTGAAACCAAAAAGTTTGAGAATTGTTACCCTATATTAACCCTGTGAGCATACCCTCGATTGGATGTCCTTTAATTGCCAAAATTCTGCTTTCAGAACAGGGGAAAAATGGAGTAGGTAACCGGAGTTAGCAATTTAGGAATCCACAGAAACTTCAAAAAGCCTAAAATGTTTATGATTTTAAAGACATTTATTTTAACATGTACAGCTTTGGCTGCCTAAAACTTCATTCTTTGAAGTAAGAATTTGTTTTAAATGGCCTTTTCATGATATGTATATTGCATAGAGAACTGAAAAATGTGAGCCAAGTGAATAGGACACCCCAGATGCCCAATTGTATTTAAAAGTTCAAGTTCAAAAGAGCAGACTAAGGGCCGGCCCCTGGCTCACTCGGGAGAGTGCGGTGCTAATAACACCAAGGCCCCAGGTTCGGATCCTACATAGGGATGGCTGGTTAGCTCACTGGCTGAGCATGGTGCTGACAACACCAAGTCAAGGGTTAAGATCCCCTTACCGGTCATCTTTTAAAAAAAAAAAAAAAGACAAAAGAGCAGACTAACTTTAAACCTCTGTTCCTTTCAAGGACTGATTCATAACCACTGCTAGTATACCCTGGTAACTACTGGATACTAAAGGTTAACATTAGAGACAGCTTTCAGGCAAACACCTTTCAGAAAGTCAACTGATCTAGGACAATGCCTGCCCAGAAACGAAGCTCAGTGGCTTCGAGGCCTTTCAGAATCCGGCTCCCCTCTAATCCACTCCTCCCTCAACTCTTTTCTTGCCACACTCATCATTCATTGCTCGTTCCCATCCAGATGTTTGTTCACCCTGCTTCTCCTTCCTGGGAAAATATCCCTCCTCCTCATTCCCTAAATTCTATGATTACAACTAACATATACAGACAACACGTGAGAAGACTGGAACCCACAAGATTACTGTTCCCAAGTTTTCCGATTCCAAATTTAGTATTTAACAGAAGCACAGTTGAAAACCACTTGAATGTTTAATTAAAAACTCCATAAATCCAGAGTATGAAAAGGAAAGGCAAAAAAGTACAGTCTCTCTTATAAGGGACATAAACACCCCATTCCTCTACTTAAGGAGCTGTGATTAGTTTTGGGTACCCACTTGCAGAAAGCCATGAGCAAAGTGCAGAGTACAACTGTGATGGTGAGGGGATTACAATGAGAAGAGACTGAAGAAAAAGTATGTTCAGCCTGAAGAAATGAAGATTACGGTGACGTGGGCAGATAACTACTTCCAAATATCTGAAGGACTATCTGATTTGGATACAGAGTCATATTTGTTCTTTATGTCTCCAAAGGGGAATGTAGAACAATGGGAAACAAATTTTTAGCAGGTAGACTTTCTGAAGTGAGACTGGTTAGCCTCAGCAAAGAATGTGCTGATTATCTCTGGAGGTGTTAAGAAACTAATCATTTATTTGATAGGGACTGCACAGAAGACATTCAGTAACAATGAATGCCTAGACTCTGAGGTCCTTCCAATTCTGAAATCTGATAACATCAGAATAAATTCTGAACCACAGAGAATGACAAAAATTTACCATTTCCATAAAACTATAACATTTTCTATACATATGTTCATTATAGTTTTAGTACCTTAAGAAGCATGATAGAAAAGCTACGTTTTATTCCAACTCTGAGTTATTTTTATTTCTACTCCATTATTTCTTTTACTCCTAGCCTAATATCTGAGACCAAGATCCTATGTGATCAATTGTCCTCTATATAGCTACTTTAAGAATAATAAGTAAGCCATTCTCATCTTTTTGTAAGTCTAAAGTAAAAGCTATAAGTGCCTTGCAATTCCATAACCATTCATACTAATCTTAAACTGTTATTTGGAGGTGGAAACACACGGAGATATCACCGAATGACATCTGATGTTTACTGGTAGAGATCACAGAAGAGTCTGGGTCCGACGTCCGACAAATAACTAAGCCCTGGCTCCAGACTGTGGAGTCACATTAGGATATCCTCATGCTTTCCAAAACAAAAAGTTCATGTGAAGTTTACCCCTTAGATAAATGATCAATTTTAGATGGATAGCTTAAGAATAAAAGGCATTATTTTCACGTGCTTTGTGTGAGATGCATGTGATATATCAAGAGTCAACGTTCTTTACTCACTAGTTGAAATCGATGTCCAAAGCTCAGCCACTCTTTCTCCACAAGGACTTCAAATCCTCGGATGGTTCGATAGTAGCCATCCAACATGAGCATGGCAAGGGAAGTTAGCTGAGCTGTGCGATCCCAACCATCACTGCAGTGTACTACCACAGACGTCTTCCCCGACTCTACTTTGTCAGCAATCCTAAGAGCCCCTGCAAGAATAAGCTGGAAAACTTTTTTTTTAAATAAAAAAAATTTTTAAATTAAATACTTCCTTCTTTACAATTTACTAATAGTTTTGTTAGGGATGATTGTCTCAATAACATGGAGAAGAAAAAAAACATCTATCACCTCCTAAAAATTTTTATAAATGGTAGAGAACATATAAATTTTGCTATTAAAACTAGAAAAATCTCATAAATGGACACTCCATTAATTGTGCAATGAAATATCCAAATGAAAGGTACCTTTGGGTGCTGAATAAATCAACAATATGAGTAAGATTTCTCTTATGAGAATTAAATTCTAAAGGGATCTGTTTCTAAGAATCATCAAATATTCCAACATCATCTATTTAAATAAAAACAATTGATATGCCAACTGAAGCCTTATCTTCCTATTATTTGAAACAATGATTACTTAACCAAACTAGAATACTTAAAAGCAATAAAATTGGATCTCTTTTAAAATATTCTATAGCATTTATTTTTTTGACTAAAGATTTTTATAAGTCACATAGAACACAGTAAACAGTATAAACTTTAGAGTAAGCTACTTTTCTGTAACAGTATGAATAGAAATTCTCATCAGATTGATTAATATTATCCTCACGTCAATTTAACTGGTACCTAAAATAACTTCAGCTCTTATTTTTTAAATATGCAGAAACCCTTTGCAAAATAACTTACCTTTTCTGAAAATGATCTGAACAGAATTAGACATAACCAAAAAAGAAACACATAGTAGTATCTTTAGAAATGGTCAATATAGTCCCATTCTTCTCTGTAATGACAATGCCATAATATCATACTTAAAAAAGCATATAGTACCATACACATAAATCAGAATGAAAGAAAATAGATTTACTAGGCTTGGAAATCTTCTGATAACCTCCCTTTGATCATAATTGTAAGCATATTCTGAAAATGGGATATTCTGAAGCAATCTCAATCTTAACTACACATCAGAGTCATTTGTGAGCATTAAAAAAAAAACAGCACTTGGACCTCTTTCTCCAATGATCCTAATTCACTATCATAGCTCCACCTATATTTCAAATGCATATACAGACTTAAGAATAATGACTCAAGAATTAAGGCTTTAGTTAAGACTGACCAGGAAGAGTTATCCAAAGTGGTAATTTTCATTCATTCATTCATAAACATTTATGTAGTCCTTTGCTATGTAGCAGGTACTGCTCTAGGTGCTGGAGATAGAGCAGTGAATAGAACAAAGTACCTGTTTAATGAAGTTTACATTGTACTTGGGGGAGGCCAGCCAGACACAAATAAACAAGGAAATATACAGCATGTCCGATAGCAATAAGTAAAGCTCCATACAAGGTGTAGAGAGTGATGGTCAAACTGTTATTTTGTATGAAGTGGTTGAGAAAGGCCTCTCTGAGAAGGTGATATTTCAGCAGAGATCTGAAGAAAGTGAGTAAGCCTTCTGGATGTGAGGATTGGGGGAGGAGAAAGCCAAACTGTTTATCTTATATACTTCTAGGGAAACCTGTTCCTGTTACAGCCAAAAATGTTTAAAGAATGTTGTATCCACCAGTGAAATGACCTGGAATTTTCAAAGCAAACCCAGCAATTCATGTTAGTTCCAAATTAAGTCTCATGGTTTTATATTTGCACACCATACAATAGATGGGCCACATGAACATGCTCTCTGAGTAGTGTTTATATTTTGCTATACTCAAGTTTCTTAGCTTCTAGAAGAGAAACAATAATCACAATAGTCTATAATTATAATTCTCATTATTAGATCAGTTTGGCCTTCTCTTCAATTTTGTCTGAATTTTAGAGATTTTGACATGAGTACAGGTCTGCTCCTCAACATGTCAAATCACATTTCCCATTATTTCGTAATATATATGTTGTTATGTAAGACTATATTTTGGAATGTTATATTACTGAAATTCAGAATGTATCTGAAAACATACATAACTATATTAGTTGAAATAATAGTCTGGTGCTTCAAACATTAAATTAGCATGTGCTGTAGACTGAATGCCCCCCCCCCCCCCCCCCCCCCCCCAAAAAACAAAAGAAATAAAAAGTACTCAATTTTTGTGAAGTCTTAAAATATCTGCCAAGTGAAAGAATTACCATGAGTGGGAAAGTGTTTCCCCATCTTATTATTGCTACTAACGTTTTCAAAGACTAAAAGCAAGTCTTTGTCATCATACTATTCTGGAAAAAAATACAAGAGAATGACAAATCAGGAGGGTGGGAATAGGGAACGAGGAAGGGAGGAAGAACAAGGTTAGCAAGCCAGACAAACGTGTGCATGAAGAAAACTATCCCATTATGGTAATTGAAAGGTGGGGACTTAAAGAGATGATTAGATTGCAGGACCATGCTGCAGTGAATGGATTAAAAATGGTGGTCAGGGGCATGGTTCTGAGGGCTATAATAGGAGAGTGCATGAGGAACTATCTCTCTGCTCCACCATTTCCTGCCATACGAGACCCCTGGGTCACTGTTGCCACCACTTAGGCCTTCACCAAATGTCCCCTGGGCTTTGGACTTCCCAGCCTCCAAAACTGTAAGCAATAAATTTCATTTTCTTACAAATTACCCAGTTCCATGTATTTTGTTATAAGCAACAGAAACAGACTAATACAGCCTGTTAGATAAATTACTGTTCACATGGTGCTCTGCAAATGATTTAGCACTCAAATGATATCCTTCATTCAATTTCTCTCCCCCATTTCCCTGATCAGTTTTTTTTTTTTTTTTTTTT